GATATACATCCCTCGGTGCTGCGGACGCACTGTCCGACGTTGCACCGAGTGCGGGAGAAGAAGTTGGGCTCTGCCCGTTCTCGCCATCAGAACCAGCGAGACTTGGAGATTTTGGTGTCATTGACACAGGGCTCATTGAGCACAGAAGTCGTTTCGATAAGTTGCAGTGTTTAGCGGACACGCGGGCGTCGCTGAGGCAATAATCCATTGGAACTGTAAATGTTCTTAATCTTAATGGGGGAGAGTGTAACGGGGTTAAACGTACCCTGGTGACAGGTATGTGTGTCACACGATATGGGCATGGTGTGACTGCACCCAAACAAGAATACGGTATGTGGCTAGGTAGCCAGAAGTTATGCATGTATTTAGATCTTACTATATATATTTAGGAAAGTCTATACATTTAAAATTAGACGGCTTTGCCGCAGATAAAAATAAAGAAAAATCAGTTTTGAATCCAAACCGAAGCGTCTATTGCCTTAGTTAGGGTACAAACTGCTTCTGGAGGTAGCGGATTGCGATCCGCCACACTCATATTGGTGTTTGTAAGGAACGAAAGGTCGGTGACCCAAATTACGCTTCCTCAAGCGCTAAGTTTTACGGCAGCCCCGCTGCAGACAACGTGTCAATCCAATGAGTAGCGAGTAGAGACGTGGCGTATTCTCGGGTCTTTATTGGTCCTCATACAGCGATTTTCAAAAACTGCGTCTTCTCCATATCGGCTGATCCACAACTACGGAGATTTATCACAAGCTAAAATGGCCCCTAAAGTCTGCCTTACCCTCGCATGGGCTTCGCAAATCATAATTCATTTTTGAAAGAGGAAGAATCAAAACACGCTGCACCGGCGCTCGAGATCTGTAATGAAGCGGCCTGACTTGGCGAGACAAACTTGGTCGTCTTCAAGCGCATGAGCCACAGCTATCCTCGACAAAGACGCTTCAGATTGTATAACAAACTGATGATAGCTTTGAGCAATGCGTTCGGTGGAAATCTCCCGCCGCGCTGTAGCACTTAGAAATTGGAGATCTAAACATGTGCCCAAAATTCACTCCACAAGTGCCTCCTGGTCCCGTAGACGTAGATCAACACTTCTTAAGTGAAACCGTTATAGATGAAGGGAGTCATGATGGCAAAAAATTCCTGTCGCCAACAGCTTGACTGTTTTTTTGCTAATAGCAGCGAGATGAGACCTTTTGCTCGGACGGCCAATAAAACCTACAACGACGGAAGACTACACGCGTCATCTTTGAGCCGGAAATAATCATTTCAATAGTCAAACGCCCTGCCGGTATTAGCAGGCTGAAGAATGGAACAGAAGCATACAACGAAGGTTTTTCTATTGAAACGTTCCCACATGCAAACCTCCGTTCTTTCCTATTACGTTTATCAATGAACAGCTCGATCAGGTCGTATGAATAAAAATTTCTTCTTGTAAAGTATTGTGCACAAAATATTCTCCTAGTGAAGTATTGTCTACCTCATAATATACAATGCACTATGCACTTGATGCCTTCACTATGAGGTATAGCCACGAATTGTGTATCCGGTTGAATTGTGCTCTGATACAGCAAGCCTTAAACCAAGATATTGACACAAACACGATTACGATTGCTTAGGTAAAGTAATATCGCACTCAACAGTGCTTACTTCCTGAATCTTCAAAGCTGCCACACACGTTGTGTCAAAGTTGCTTATCGTAAGAATAGCATCGTCGATGCGTGACGTTAACATTGCGATATCTTACAGATCTTTATATGGACGATTTGAAAGCGCATTCCCGACCACATAAAACCGACTAAGCTCGTACATTCCTTCAAATGTATTTTCTACAGAAAACATTAACAATTACGCCGCTTTTTATGAGAGGCGTGGAGACAATTGTATGAGCGTCATGACGCTTTTCAGTGGATATCACAAACTTCGCAGATGTACTCTAGCCTGGCAAGAACATACTTCAAAAATTCTTTATCGTGAGCGAAGTAGCTCGTTATAGCTTTAGACTAGCAGGATTCATTTTCAATAACATATTCATGCCCACTAACATCAACTTGATATCAAGCACAGTCTATGGCAAAAGCCAGAGCGTCACAAACGATGTGAAATGGCTGTCCTCTATCTAGAAGGGTCAGATGAATGGCGTATTTGGATAAATCTTTAGCTTTGAAATGCCACCACTTCTGTCGCTTCCTGAAACACCTAGCATCCCTTTTGTAAGGGGGCTACACGTACCCTTGTAAGAAAGGGTGTGTCGCACAAGATTGTGCGACCGTACATAGGTACGTATTACACAACTTAGTGTAATCACACAGTGGTGTGGTTACACCATAACAAGAAGCCTTCAACGTGGCAGGATTGCCAGTAGTAATGCATATTTCTATATTGATTAGGTTTTGCTATATTAATCAGGTATTACTATATTAATCAGGAGAACCTAGAGTTTTGGATATTGGTGGCTCTGCCGCAGCTAAATGAATTGAAAAAAGATTCAATTTTGAACGGAAGTGTTCGTTTGCCTTGCAGTAGTACCCTCGTACAGGTTCTTGGAAATAACATAAGGTCGGCGACCATGGTTAGCTTCTTCTAAGTAAAGAGCTGGCAGACCCTGCACCTCTTCAAATATTGGTGCCAAACCGCGCCATGTTGGCATGATATACTTAAAAGGCTGGCCAGTCTATACATTTGGGATTGGTACATTTACGATCTATTATTATTTAAATCTGTTCAGGACGTGCGCGGGAACCATGCTTCTCAAAGGTTATCCAAATCCAGCTTCCGTGCTCTGCACGTTTATAGACGAATGAATCGTCGAGAACAGGTCTGTTCAATACATGATGCGATTTCGGAGAGCTGTCTGGTTCTGGAGCTAGTTATCCCGTCCTAGGGACGGTTTGGCTGGAACACCACGAACCATGGGTCGGATGGGAGCAAAAAAAAAGTGCCACGCAGTTTTCTCCTGGTGGATATTTGTTGCATCATGAATTTGCATCTCCCATGAAGCTGGAGACTCTTTGGTAAGGGCAAAACACATATGAGACACTCATTGTAAGAAACCGACAGCAATTTCATTTCCAAAAGCATCAAGCAGACCTTGAACGGCAGCGAGCCGAGGTTTCAGTATAAAATGGAGACGCGCGATCGTATATCGCGGTCTATAGAGTGCATCTTTATTACAGCTAAATGAACCGACCGTCTGTCGTGTCCCCCAGAATCTATAGTTGCTTGGTAGGAGGCTCCGCATCATCAGCGTCAGCGGAGCACGAACTTTCAGGGCCTGCCTCGAACGCCGAATCCGATTCTCGATTGCATCCCCAGGCAAGTTTGCATGACGCCATGCGAGATTGCGAGCTTTGCAAACGACCTGTAGACTATTCTTCACGCATTGTCGCGCCTTAGACACCCGAACGAACATCTGGCGAGTAGGTAAAGAATAGCTGTGAGATGTTGTCTCTGTGCCAAGGACACTACAGAGTGGAATCGACTGAGTTTCGCAATGTCTTGCGCCAGAGCCAGTAGAGTTCAAGGGCAGCAGTATAAAGTCAGGCCCTGGAGAAAATTGAGTCTGTCATCCTTTTCAAGAGACGGATCTGTGACGTGAACATCATTTCTTCGTACATAGAGTGACTTGATTGTCTTAGGGGTTGTAGTTTTCCTAACTATATCTGGAATAAGCGCCTATAGAATTAGGAGGGTTATCTACCATAAGTATGCGCCAGAAAATTGAAGTCGGTGGGGTTATCAAAAAGGTACGGTCCACATTAACCCTTGCGAGCGGTGCTGCGCTAAGATAAGCTATGACCAATATAGACATTGAGTCGTTGGTGCCTACGAGCTCAAGTTTTAGGTTGATCTATTGGGAACCGGCGTAGTACCGGCTTTGTTACAGCAACCCCGTTGCAAAGCTTCTTACTTCTTCAAATCCCGTACCACGCACTAATTATGGTATTTACCATAATACTTCACCACAGCATTGTGATGTGTACGACACCATCAATCAACATGGTGCGCGCGCGTTTAGTATAGTCACAACCTCATCGTGAAATTCTGCTGTATGTTGTCCAGCTGTTTTTCTTTGGTAGCTCATAACGCATTATACTTTTCAGTAAAAAGAAGCACATTTCCTGGCTGTATACCATAAAAGGAGTTATATTTGGGTATACTTTTAGCATAGCGATAAAAATCAAACTACAGGATGGCAATGATAGCGTTACCAAGGCCAACTACAGTGGCGAATACGCCTCCAAGCCAGCAAATGGAACGATGTGGCTGCATCCTGTGTGCGTACGCGTATGTGAGCAAGCAGCGTGAAACCGTGTAGATGGTCATGGCGCCTGTGTGCACGATAGGATTGCTATTGACCAGGACGCCAATGCCAAAGATAAAGAGTGCAAAGGGAATTGACTCCAGGTCATTGGTTACAATGCGCGTCCAGCGATGCTCGATCTCACGAGCCTTGAGCACCTTCTCGTCATCCGTCCTGTTCAAACCATACGTCTGCTTGCGATCTTTGCCAATCGTCTTGTTGAGTTTGAGAAGCACATCTTCAGGCGGACGGCCACCTGAGCGAAATTTCTTTTCGCCCTGCACGAGCGTGGCCATCAGGAACTTGATGTACAGCACGGAGGTACAGGCAATATATACCTTGGTGTTCAGATCGACCATGATTCTCTAGTGTTCTTTGGCGTTGTGAGGATAAGTGATACAGAATAGTTTAAAGATGTGTCTGGTACATGAGTTGTGGTTGCCAATGGGATGGTGAGAAATAGAGAGGGTAGCTTGGTAACATTGGTGCTGATTGTATGTAGCTAGTTAAAAAATGCGCCGTAAAGTGCATTCGCTGCACCTGTAATGATAAAGATAATGCCGAATAGCCAACAAAGTGCACGGTGCGGATGCAACGCATTCGAGTACGCCACTGTGTGGAAGCAGCGCACAGCTGTGTAACTAACCATGACGCAAATCTGCACGACCGAGTTACCCTTGGCCATTATACCAGCACCAAAAACGATTAGCGCTAGCGGAATTGACTCGAGATCATTCTGAACAATGCGACGCCAGCGTATTTCCGCTACTTTGGCTTTTTGAATCTTTTCGCTCTGGTCTTCAGATGGGGTGGCGAAGCCAAATGTTTGGACAGGGTTACCCTTGGCCAGTGGTAACGTCTTGTCCTCAGGGGGGCGACCACCGACCTCGAACGTCTTGATTGCCTGGATCATCGTGGCCAGCACAAATTTCACGTATAGCACAGCAGCACACGTCACGTAGGTCGTGCACTCGGTAGAAATAGCCATGATCACCTGTTTTCCAGACGCTACGATAGAGGGTTACACGCTCGTTATGCTTTTCTAACAGCAAACAGCTAATTAAGCTAATTATTATTCTCCAGAAATTAGTTATGTAGTTGTGTACTTTTTGTCAAATGATGTTTCAACTAATTTCAAGCTTTTTAGCATAAAAATGCACGACTCAATTCATCCAATCATGTCACTTTCTGTGGCTGCTCCTAAGCCACTCGATAGAAATCCTGACAGAAATCATGAACGCTGTAGTCCCCTCTGCCAAGTCCACGACGATACCAACGCTTTTCCGTCGCAATCGTTCTCGTGTCAAAGAGTTGCTATCTAGTGGTTTAAAACTTGAGGGAAAGAGTGTGACCGTGAAAGGATGGGCCAAGACGCTACGGGAGGCTGGAGCTGGAGCTTTTGCATTTCTCGAGCTGAATGACGGTTCATGTTTTGCTGGTGTCCAGTGTGTCATTAACAAGGGGGAGACGGATGGTTTTGAAGACGCAATTGCGTCAGGTGGTGTTGGGGCGAGCTTTAGTGTCGAAGGCATCGTTGTCAAGTCTCCGGCCAAAGGCCAAGAGATCGAACTTAAGGCTACAAAGGTTACTGTCTACGGTGGTGTACCTGATAGTGCCACGTATCCTATGAGCAAAAAACGCCACTCTCTCGAACATTTACGTATGCACGCACACTTGCGTCCACGATCGAACATTCATGGCGCAGCAATGCGTGTACGCAATGCTATGGCATTTGCCACACACGAGTTTTTCAAACAGCGTGGCTTTTTATACATTCACACTCCGATTATCACAGAATCGGATTGCGAAGGTGCTGGAGAGATGTTTAGTGTAACGACATTACTGAGTCAACATCCTGATGGCAAGTTGCCGCTGACGAAAGAGAACAAGGTCGATTACACGAAAGACTTTTTTGATCGGCCATCGTATTTAAGTGTATCCGGACAACTTAATGTCGAGACACATTGTTGTGCCTTGTCAGATGTATACACTTTCGGTCCGACATTTCGAGCGGAGAATTCTAACACATCACGTCATTTGGCCGAATTTTGGATGATTGAGCCCGAAATCGCGTTTGCAGACCTCAATGATGACATTGATCTGGCTGAAGACTATCTCAAGTACTGCGTACAGTACGCATTAGATCACTGCCCGGACGATTTGGATTTTTTTAACAAAAATGTAGAAAAAGGATTACTCGACCGACTATCTGCCACTGTTGCGTCACCATTTGTACGCATTTCTTACACTGATGCAGTCGAGTTGTTGCTTCAACCAGAACATTTGAAAGCTGGGAAGTTTTCTGTTAAACCAGTGTGGGGTACCGATTTCGGTTCAGAGCACGAGCGGTACTTGACCGAAACAGTGTATAAGAAACCGGTCGTGATTTTCAATTACCCGAAAGAGTTCAAGAGCTTTTACATGCGTCTAAATGATGATAACAAGACAGTAGCAGCTGCAGACGTGCTGGTTCCAAATGTTGGAGAAATTATTGGTGGATCGGCACGTGAGGAACGTCTGGATGTGCTGGAGGCACGTATTCGCGAGTCGGGTGCAAACCCGGATGATTATAAATGGTACCTGGAACTGCGCAAGTATGGTACAGTGCCTCACGCTGGCTTTGGACTTGGCTTTGAGCGTCTTATTCGTTACGTGACTGGCATTGAGAACATCCGTGACGTGATTCCATTCCCTCGTTGGCCAGGCAATGCTTCGTTTTGAGGAGTTTGACTTTAAGAAATTGGAGTAATTAAGGGTTATGGTAGGAATGTAGCTTTTACGGGTAAACCCTAATGCGCTTTTTGTTACCACTTTCTGTTATACTACGGATGTCTACGGGTGACGAAAGAGTGTGATACATTTCTTGCCGATATTAAACCGCACAAAGTTTTTGCTTTCGTAAGTAAATGCTGTCTTGTACTCGGACCCAACGATGCAATGCCATGTGGGCCCGTATTTTTCCTCCATCCATGTTTTGATATGTTTAGCAATCTCTCTCTCTTGTGTGTATTGCTCCAAGGCTACATGAGCTTGTGCCAACGCATCGTTTTTCATGTCTCCATGCTCGTCCACTTTCAAAAGTCACATGATACAATCAGTCGATGCACGAAATAGAAAACTCATGTAATTCAATCTTACTGTCCGTCTCCATCTGCTTATCATTTTCCTGTAACATTGGCAAGTTCCTTGCAATCTTTAATGCGCGACGTTTCTAAATATCCGGATTGTATACAGTCGTACTTTGCAGAATATCCACCATAGCAAGTAATATATTCTAGAAAGGTAAGTAAATATTGAAGTCTAGCCAATCGTTTTGAAAGAGCGCGACAGGACGAGTGAGGTCACCAGCCGCTGTCCTCTTTGAGATCCGAAGCTATGACGCACGATATGTCATCGCGCATCGAGTACTCTGAAAAGTATGTCGATGATACACACGAGTACAGGTGCGCACGAATCTTCAATTTGTCACGCAACAAGGCAAACATAATAATCTTCTATTGCTATGCTGACAATATCACTTTTCTGCTTAACGATTTCAGACACGTAATTTTGCCCAAAGAGATGCAGCGGAACCTGCCAGATCGTTTACTGACCGAGACTGAGTGGCGTCAATTGGGCGTCCAGCAGAGTCGCGGTTGGGTGCATTACGCTATTCACAAGTATGGTTATCGTCGAAATTTTTTTGTATTTGGGCAATTGCTCATTTTTGTGTGAAAGCAGACCAGAGCCGCATATATTATTATTTCGACGTCCATTGGGCACGGACCCTACGACTGGCCGCGTTAACTTAGAAATGGAAAAGCAAGCAAAGGAAAAATACGCCAAGGAATTTAATTGACGTGCTCGCAGGAAAATGAGCTCGCCAAAAGTTGGCAACATTTTCGATCAAGTCATAGCAGTAATTTTCACTTACACTGCTTGATCGGAGATATATTGGGAGCGATATATGCTGCTTGAATATATTGCTTGCTCCTACCTATCCAACTTGTTCCTGATTCTTGTTGACACGCCTGGCTCAGAATATAAATAACTCCAGCAACATCCTTCAAATCCGCATTTAGCTGAAGTGTTTGTGTATGCTTGATTTCGATGCACGATTATAAGGGTTTACAGGTCAAAATCAATGAATTATTATTAGTATAAAGATGAGATCTCCGCAGTAATATTTACACATTAACTCACTTTCGATAAAAAATACTGATCCTTTCTTTTATCTCAAGTCACTCTCACAATATACCCAAATCTTTTGTAATAGTAGTAGTAGTGTAACTGCGTGGTGACTCGCCTCTTCGCAAGATTAAGTTGGAGGAGCAGCAAGTACGGTTTTCGCCATACTATTCATCTCGCACGATCTTTACACACTAATCACTAGAAGCTCGGGTCTTGTAGCAACCTATACCGTCCTCAGCCCGAACCATTTATATTGATAAAATCCATTTCTTCTATATCACCAATTTGGCATACTCAAGTATTAGTCCGACGGTGGCGCGTCACACCAAAGCTTAACTTGTCATTGCCGATTGGCTAAAATCTCGTCGGATGGTCGAGCTGATGGTCGACGCACCGTCGTCGTATCCTTAAACTAGAACTAAAAATATGTTCCTTGATGAATTGAAGTTTCTGTTCATTCTTCCTTGAATCAACTATGAGAAAATAATTCTGTACACGGCAAAATGTCACTTTGAAACGGCTCGTTTCATAATTGTAATCACTGTTTTGAAATATCAAAATGTTCGCTTTCTGATCCTTTAAGCAGTCCCAATCCAAGCCTTTATAAATCTTACGTTGTCTCTAATTGATCTTTTCCAGCTTAAAACACCCATGCATCTTACACCGCCACACCGCAACCCTTCACGTCAACACGTGTTTCTTAAACGTGTTTTGGCGTGAGAGGTGCCCCGTCTGCGCATATTAACGTCGTTTCAGGACCCAATCAGCTTCTAGCCTTGCGGTACCCCCCAATATCGAGAGTTGCCTCCAAACTTTAGTCCGACCATTCTCCTTTCCTCGGCGTCACGCACAGCTCGATTTTCCAGCCCATTTTGTCGTACCGTGATGCAGCACACGCCTCTTGTCACGATGCAGAAATCTAATCACCATCTTTTGGCCACCAGCGCGCTCAAAGATGCCATGGGCGCCGAGATGAAAAACCGACACGTGCCTGTCTACGTAAAAATGATGGCTGGTATGGCTGGTGGCGTTGCAGAGGCATGTATTCTTCAACCATTGGACGTCACCAAGACACGTCTGCAATTAGACCGTACAAGCCAATATAAGGGCATGGTGCATTGCGGCTCAACAATTTACAAGACGGAGGGCGGGTTGGCACTATACAAAGGTCTGACACCTTTTGTGACGAATATGGTTCTCAAGTACGCATTGCGATTTGGCTCGTTTGCGTGGTTTAAAGAGCAAATTGCTGGTGGCAAGGACAAACCCATTACATCTACCACCAACTTTACCGCTGGACTACTTGCGGGTTGCATCGAGTCGGTCATCATTGTCACGCCGTTTGAAGTGATTAAAACGCGTATGCAAAAAGAAGTGGGTGTTGGTCGGTTTAGTGGCCCAATCGACTGTACGCACCACATTATACGCAATGAAGGCGTGCGTGCTCTTTGGAAAGGAAATATTCCGACCATGGCACGTCAAGGAAGCAATCAAGCATTCAACTTTATGGCCTTTGCATGGCTTAATCATCACGTGTGGGATAAGCAAGACGGCGATGGTAAGACGCTACCGACCTATGCCACAGTAATCAATGGTCTCATCGCTGGTTCGCTTGGACCTATGTGCAACACGCCAATGGATGTCTTAAAGACGCGACTGATGGCGCAGGAGACTGTGGCAGGTCAGGAACCCAAGTACAAGGGATTCTTTGACGCGATGAAAGTCATTTCGAGAGAAGAAGGGGTGATGGCGCTTTGGAAGGGCCTTCTCCCGCGTCTAACGAGAATGGCACCTGGTCAAGCCATTACGTGGTCTGTTGTCATGCGTGTGACGTCGATCTTTGAGAATCAGGAGCTTGAACTTGGAGAAAACAAGATGAAGATGTAGATTTTGGCAGCAGAATAGAGGAGCCAAAAGATATAGATTTAGTAATTGTACGTTGATTTGTGGGTTGTTTTTTTGTGAATAAGTAAGGGGAAACTCTGTTTCTAGTGTAAATTACATTCTGATATTCTCTTGCAGAGGTACATAAATTTACGTGATCAAAACTGCTGGGTTTTATTACATTATCAGCTTATCTTCCATCATTTACAGTGTTAATTATATGTGTCTGTCTTGTACTCACCGACTTTTCGCACGCAATCGTCGCGGAGTATTGCCATTGTTTGATAGCCGCTCGGTTGGTGGAAAATCTTGTCGAATCTTTTGTTCAATTTCGTCTTCGGAAAATCCCATGGCACGATATTTTGCAATAGCGCTCAGTAACTTATCAAGATGCCTACTGGTACTTGACAGTCGGGGTGGCAGACCAAAATTGTCGGTATTTGAAAGGACGTCCAGAGTGTTGTCACCTTCACTGCGAGAGTGTGTGTGCAAGAGAGGCAGAGTCGAAGGATGCATCATGTGATAGGGTTTCGCCACTTCCTTTGCAATTTCTTCTTCTTCCTCGTCTTCACTCTCTCCATCACTTTCATATTCATGATCATATTCATCATAATACTCACTACCAAGAGAGTACAATGATCCATCAATCGGCCCATCCATTTGACTATTCCGACTACTCCGACGAGAAGATCTAGTCGACCGTGATAAACTTCGACAGGTACCGCCTCGACTATTTCCACTCATTGTACCCCCTGCAAGTCGATGCCATGGTGCACCATGGTGGCAACATGCACAGACTTCGCGTCCATCTGGTAATATTTTTGCTTTTTTGTACCGTGAACATCCACAATTTCCTGCCTCAGAATCTCGACCAAAAACACATGTGCCTCTCTTGCCAATTCGTGCGCGTGCACGTTGTGCTCGTCGCTCCATTTCTTCCCATAATAATGTGCGTGCAGGAACTGGTTTGGTCGGCACTAGACCCGCAGCTCTTTTTGCAGCATACTCCTTGGCAATCTCAAGTAAAATCTTTTCCGCCTCATGAATACGTCGTAATTGATCAGTTGTTGGTTGATCTCTGTCGTTTCGATTACTTGTCGACATACTGTCAACATGTTCCTCTTCTTCTGTCGTTGGATCTAATGGTGATGAATGTCGTGGAACTTTATCACTGACGTTTGACGTGCGCGGCACTAACGAGTCATTCGTGGATATCGCCGTACTACAATCACTCGTCACACCTTCACTCTGCGACCGAGAACGACGTTTTCGATGTTTTTGTTGGACATGTTGCAATGTTGGTGACATAGGTGACGTCAAGTGACGAACACTGACTCGAGACTGAGACTGGCGCTTGGATTTTGCGACTCGACTGGCGAGAGACATGCGTTCGTGTCCTGCGACGAGCTTATTGCCCATTAAAATCGAGACTTACTTACGTGTGTCGTGCGTGGTAAAGTGTAAAATGGCACAAACGACGTTCGAGTCTGCGTATCGGTCCGTGATACTGTCGGTCCGCCGTAACGCGCCGTTGGCGAAACCGCAGTGAAAGGCTTGACAGACGGCCCAGCGTCCAGTTTTGTGTATACCACAAAAAATCCACGAAATGACTCCTTGCTTTACCGACTCTATAAGCAGTATGGACGACTAAAATAGATATTGTTCGATTATTGAATCCTGCTTTGAAGCACTTTAAGCGATAATGACATAATAGAGCCCACGCAATT